GCCTGGGCGCGGGGTGGGGCACGTCGTGGCGGCCGAGGGCGCTGCGATCGCCACAATACGCGCACGAGCACCGACATGTGGGGGGGGGGTCAGGCTCCCCCGCCCTACGTGAGACCGTTACCGCTGCCCGGGGGGCTGGGCATCGCTCGGACGTCCATTCCTTGTGCATGTTTTCGGTTTCGTGCGTGGTGTTTTCGCCAAATGATCAAGGATGCTCCTCGATGGTCCTCGCCGAAGGAAAAATGCACACGTCCGAGCGATGCCAAGGGCCAAGAGGGGGGTGTCCAAGACGGGGGGCGCGAATCATGGCCGGCGGCACGTGCGCGGCCCAGCGGGGGGGGGGCCAGGGACGCAGTGAAATCAGGAGAGGCGCCATGAAACCTGGGGAGATATCGTGGCCCTCGCCGTGATATCCACCCCCCCCTGGTCATCACCCCCCTCGTTGCCGCCCCCGAGCCCGAGTGTGGGGAGGGGGATTCGGGCCCCAGGCAACGCCTTGGCGCAGGGTTGGGAACATCGTCGCGGAGGGCGCTGCGATCGCCACAATACGCGCACGAGCACGGACATGGGGGGGGGGTCAAGCTCCCCCACCCTACGTAAGATCGTTACCGCTGCCTGGGGGGCTGGGCATCGCTCGGACGTCCATTCCCAGTGCTCTCTCCGGTTTCGTGCGTGGTGTTTTCGCCAAATGATCAACGATGCTCCTCGATGGTCCGGGCGGGTGACGATTTTTACGCGCCAGAGGATTTGCTAGACATCCTGTGCCCCAATTTTTGCGATGGGTGGACCTCTGGAGGTCTTGACAACAACCCTAGGGCCAGTGTTTCGTCCCGAACTGTTTTTTGACTGACACGGGGTCCGTTGAGCTCCCCTGAAGGCCGAACATGGCCAAACAACGCACGGCCGAAAATGGCCAAACACCGCACTGGGGAAACCACAAGGTACCAATACCGCTACTCCCCAGACGTCCCCCGGGGTGCGTTCTGACCAGGACTTCGAAGCGAATCCAGCGGTGGCGACGAGGGCCTCCCGGGAGGTTCAAGGAAGGGGAAACACCTTTTCCTCCCCAGACCCCCGACGTCGTGATTGTTTCATGACGTCGACCCCCAGAGGTGACCCCAGGACTGGCTCTTGATCCCGAGTCGTTTCTTCACGCTCCCGAGGCCAGGTAGGGGCCCACCAGGGGCAGAAAATAGATAATCGAACTCTATACACCGACGCTTCTTCGGGCCCTGCGTTGGAACTTGCGCGGGAGAGCGGATCCTGGTGTACACAGGACCCTGGTGTATACATGTTTCGCTGTTTCCTCGGAGCATCGGGGGAAAAAGTATAGACCACACCACCCCAGCGTCGCCCTCGACCCCCAAGCAGCCCTGGGATTGAAAAACAGCCCGCCACTGGCAATGTAGATGCTCCAGTCTCCGAGAAAAGAGCGACCAACCTCCCGCCATGATCTCTGTCACAGCGCGAGGGGGCCACGCCCTCTGGGCAACGACCGCCACGCGCCAGAGGACTGGGCATCGCTCGGACGTCCATTCCCTGTGCTTTTTTCGGTTTCGTGCGTGGTGTCTCGCCAAATGATCAAGGATGCTCCTCGATGGTCCTCGCCGAAGGAAAAATGCACACGTCCGAGCGATGCCAAGAGGAGCAACGATCTCCTCCAGGGCCGCGGCTGGGGCGGCCCCGAAGTCGGCGCCGATCTCCTGCGCCACCTCGTCCACGCCCCGCTCCTCGGCGGGCCCCTCGTCGGCCGCCTGCGCCGCGGCACGTGGCCGGCGCGGGGCGCACGGCGAAGGACCGGAGCAGGAATTGAAGGGGCACCCGGACCCCCCCGCGGTGTGGAAACAACGCGACGGGAGGCTTTGCGATATTCTCTCGGCCTTCGGGGGCCCCTGCCAGGCCCCAGGAGCGTCAGAAAACGACTCAGGATACAAAACCGGTCTCGGGTTATGTCGGGCGTGTCCCCCTACAGGGGGATCTTCGACGAAAAATAATAAGTACCCTAAAAATACTCCAAAAATACCCAAAAAGGTAAATGCTATTGTGGGGGTATTTTTTATTTTTCGTTGAAAATCCCCCTGTAGGGGGAAGGCCCGACATACGTCTCGGGGAAGGGCTCCAGGCCTCTGGGGGCCGACGCTGTGACCAAATCACGACGTCGGGGGCGTGGGCACGCCACGAACATACATACACGGACGCTCTCCGACGAACTTTGCACGTGCCTTCCGCGAGGGTGTTGGTGCGTAAGGTCGCTGGCTCCCAATGGTGCAACCTCCCCTGCGGCCCAGGAACAGTCCGGCGGAGGGTGCCTGTGTCTGCTCTATGGTGGCGGAGGGGACCCACGTTCGTCGCGACTCGGCCCTCGCCAGAAGCTTTTCGCCCGCACCGCAGCGGCATACGGATACCCTTCGGCTTCCCGGCTTCCCCAGGCCCGGCTCGCTGCCAACACCTCGACGGCCCGAGGCGGGCCAGCCGCGCGCTTGCACTGCGCCCTGGACTTATGTCGGGCGTGTCCCCTTACAGGGGGATTTTCGACGAAAAATAAGAGATACCCAAAAATACTCCAATAAGGTCAAAAAAATACTACTAAATTATCCCAGTGCGACCCTACCTAGGAGTTGGAGCCCCTAGGAAAGCAGCATTAGTAGTAACAGTAAAGCTAAGCTAAAGCTAAGCTGCAGCTAAGCTACAGCTAAGCTAAAGCTAAGCTAAAGCTAAGCTAAAGCTAAGCTGAAGCTAAGCTAACTTTAACGCTAAGCTAAAACTAAGCTAAGTATAAGCTACAGCTAAGCTAACTATAAGCTTAAGCTAAGCTAAATCTAAAGCTAAAGCTAAAGCTAAGTTAAAGCTAAGCTAAAGCTAAGCTAAAGCTAAGCCAACGCTAAGCTAACGCTAAGCCGAAGCTGAGCCAACGCTGAACTACAGCTAAGCTAAAGCTGAGCTAAAGCTAGCTAGAGCTAAGCTAAAGCTAAGCTGAAGCTAAGCTGAAGCTAAGCTAAAGCTAAGCTAAATTTAAAGCTAAGCTAAATCTAAGCTAAAGCTAAGCTAAAGTTAAGCTAAATCTAAGCTAAAGCTAAGCTAAAGCTAAGCTAAAGCTAAGCTAAAGCTAAGCTAAAGCTAAGCTAAAGCTAAGCTAAAGCTAAGCTAAAGTAAAGCTACAGCTAAAGCTAAAGCTAAAGCTAAAAGCTAAAGCTAAAGCTCCCAAGGGACTGGGGGAACCGCGGGGCGGGGACTGCGGGAACCGCCCGGGGCGTGTAGCACTGCCCGGCCCCTTTAAGCAAAGAGAGTAAGAACCCTTCTAGGCAGAGCCTAGGTATGGAAATAGTCCCAAAACTATTTTTGGATTATGTTTTGACTATTTTGGGGGTATGTTATATTTTTCGTCGAAAATCCCCCTGTAGGGGGACAGGCCCGACATAACCCTGGACCTCCTACGCCCCGAGAGACTCGGGGCGCAAAGTCCTCTCCTCCTCCCTCCTCCTCCTCCTCCTCCTCCTCCTCCTCCTCCTCCTCCTCCTCGTCCTCGTCCTCGTCCTCGTCCTCGTCCTCGTCCTCGTCCTCGTCCTCCTCCTCGTCCTCCCCCTCGTGCTCCCCCTCGTCCTCCTCCTCGTCCTCCCCTCGACGGGTTGTGTCGGCCCGAGCCGCGTCTCTCAAAGCTGCCTCGACCCGTCACTCCTTTCGCGCGGGGCGCGCCAGGGGCGGCGCCGGAGGCGCCGCCGGGGGGCCCCAGCGCCGATCCGAGACATCCGCGCGGACCCCCAAGTTGTTATGTTTATGTCCCCTGCCACGGCAAAGCCCGCTCCTCCTCCTCCTCCTCCTCCTCCTCCTCCTCCTCCTCCTCCTCCTCCTCCTCCCTCCTCCCTATGTTTATGCCACTTTTTGTTCCCCTGTTCTTCCTCTTTGAGATCGCGTCTCTTGAGCTCCGCCGGCGCGCTGCAGCTCGAAAAACTCCCCTGGGGGTCGCGTCGTGCCTCCGCTGGGCCGGGACGCCCTGCCAGGAGGCTCTCACCGCCGCGCCGCCGAGGCGGCCGGCGCCCACACTGACTACCTACCAGACCACCCCAACCCAACCCGAAGACCCGAATTTCGGGTTGGGGGGGGTAAGGGTTCCACATGTGTTTTTTCAATGTTTCCCGACCCCCCCCAACTGGAAATCGAGGGTAAATCTGAGCCTTCGGGTTGGGTTGGGGAGGTTTGGTGGGTGGTGATATACAACAAGCAGAAAAATCGCCGCGAGCCCTCTTGACGACCGCACGTCCAAGCAGTGCCGACACTGCGAGTGCGTGGAAGAAGATTGACTGTGCGGTGTAGCAACGTACGCAAGGAGGCGTGCTGCGCACACAGGCCTCCAACATCTCGAGATTCTCGAGGCGGATGTTTGTTATGCGATCTCGGGCTCTGGGGGCTCTCGCCGGGCCCCAGGACCTTCAGAAAACGACTCGGGACGAAGTCCTGGCCCATAGGAAAAGTATCGGGACCTCCAGGGACACCGCATTGAGAAACTCACGACATCGGATGTCTGGGTATGGGTTCGATGCTCAGCGGAGTCGGCTTTGCCGCAGACGGCTGGGTGGTGCAACCTGAATTCAGTCTACGTCGCCAGCGCAGATGTACGACTCTTAATAAAGCGCTGAAGCAGCTGAAGAGGCCGAATCGTAGTATGACGGAAATGGCTATGATCAGGATAATGGTGATCATCGGTGCGACTCCTGGCATTAGAAGTATGATGGTACGCTGGCTCGTTCCAGCCGGGTGGCCACGCAACTTCGCAGCCGCCCCTGCCGCCAAGAGTAGGGGAACAAAAAGTGGCATAAACACAATGACTCGGAGGTCGGCGCGGATTTCTCGGATCGGCGCGGGGGCCCCCCGGCGGCGCCTCCGGCGCCGCCCCTGGCGCGCCCCGCGCGCCAGGGAGGGGGGTCCAGCGCCGATCCGAGAAATCCGCGCGGACCCCGAGTTTTTATGTTCATGTCACTTCTTGTTCGCCTATAAAGAGGCACTCAGGCGCCCAAGGCGGAGCTGTCGAGCGAGAGCCGGGCCCCGAACTCGGGCAGGGCCGGCGGCGGGGCCTGCCTCCGCGGCTTGGCCGGGCGCTCGGCCTCCCCGGCGGCCAGGGCCGCGGCGCTGCGGCGTGCGCGCTCCGACGCCGCGGTGGTGGTCCTCTGCGTGGGGAGCTGCGCTGCCGGCGGCGCGTGCCCGCCGCCCTCGCGCGTGCTCGGCCCGGAGGAGCTCTCGCTGCCCTTGGCGTCCGACGGGCCCCGGAAGCTCGAGGCCTCGCTGGCGCTGCCGAAGGACCCCGTCCGCGGGAGGCTCGCGTGCCCCGCGCCGGTGCGGCGCAGCTTGTCGAAGTTGCTTCGCAGCACCCAGTGCAGGCCGTCGAGCTTGTCGAATGCGACGCGCACGTCGCCATCTGCGTCAACCTGCCGGATGATTCCCGACAGGCCCTTCTTGACCATGGCCTTGTTGCTCTTGTTGTTGGACATGAAGCTCTGATGCACCTCGACGTGCACCCCAACTGCTACGTCACCTGGCTGTAGACTACCAATAACAGGAGAATCATCCGCCGAGTCCGACTCCACATAGTTGCCCACCACAAGCGTCGCTGCATCAAGACCGAACTTTTCTTCCTCTTGCGTCACGCTTAGGAGGCCCAGCCGTTTGACGACGAGAAGTGTAAAGGTGGTCAGAGTTGCAGACCAGGCAACAATACACACGATCGCCAGGAGATGAGCGGCAAGCATTTCACCCTGCACCCCGCTCCTGTCTAGCAGAGGGCGGAGCAGCAAGCCAGCCACCCCTCCACCAGCATGCACGGCAGTGGCATCTAGAGGATCGTCCACATGAGCGAAAACCACAACCCTGCTTACCGCCATCATCGAAAGGCTCCCGCAAATGCCACAGAAGATGGCCGCTGGCGGACTCATGTCGGCACAACCTGCGCACACTGCGACGAGGCCGGCCAAGATGCCGTTGCAACAGACTGGCAGGTCGAGCTTCCTCGTCTGTACGGCACGCACGGTCAGGGCGACGGTGCCTCCGAAAGCCGCCGAGAGCGTCGTGTTTACAGCCACGCGCGATGCCTGCCGGGCAGTCTCGACGCTGGAGAAGCTCAGGGTGGAGCCACAGTTGAACCCATACCAGCCGAACCACAGGACGAGAGTTCCCAGAACCACCATCGACAGGTTGTTGGGCACGAACGGGCTCTCGGCCGAGTGCCCGCCGAAACGGCCCCTGCGGGGACCGAGAACCGCAGCCGCCACGAATGCCGCGGAGCCGCCGGTCAGGTGCACGGTGCCCGAGCCTGCGAAGTCGGAGTAGCCCAGCTCGGACAGGAAACCATGGCCGCTCCAGGTCCACCAGACGACGACCGGATAGATGACCGCAGTCAAGACGCTGGCGACAATCATATAGCCAGAAAAATGGATTCGCTCGGCGACGGCACCAGAGACGATGGTGGCGGAGGTGGCGCAGAAGGTCCACTGAAAGAACCAATCCAGATGGTGGCGTGCATCCTCCGCGTCAAGGCCCGTGCCGAAGAAGAGGTCGGACCCGATGAACGTGTTCGGACTGCCAGACTCACCGTAGGCGAACGCATAGCCTACCGAATACCACAAAGCAGCCCCCACACAGGCGTCCATCACGTTCTTCAACAGGGTGACGCCTGCGCTACCCGATCGGCACGTCCCCGCCTCGAGCATGGCGAACCCGGCCTGCATGAACATGACCAGCGCGCCGCAGAGCAGAACCCACATGTAGTCGAGGCAGGTGCGGATGTGTCGGGGAGACGCAAGACTCGGGTTCGGAGGACCCAGATTAGCTCGACGGGGCCGCCAGGAAAACGACGCGGCCCAGTCTGAGACCTGAGGCCGGCCTCCCGCCGCAGACACCCCGGGGAAGGCACCGGGCCGTCCGCAGACAGGACGGGCTCGCCGAAAAAAAAAAACACGCCGGCAAACACCCGAGCTCCGGCAGAAAAACCTCGAGCCTCGCGCCTCCCCGAGATGTGGGCCGTGGCCGCCGCCAGGTGCTGCAGCGCCGCCCGGACGGGCCCGTCGGGCAGCCCGTCGATGGCTGCCGCCACGGCCCCGGCCCCGTCCTCGTCGAGGAGCCGCCGCGCGGCGGGCGCCCGCCGGGGGGAGGCCAGCCCCTCGTCGCGGGCGGCAGCCTGCGGGCCGGGCCCCGAGGCAGGCCTCCGCTGCAGCGCCTCGATCGCGGCCCTCCGTCGGCGGCTCCGGAGATGGGGCACCGCGGGGCGAGGCCCCCAGGGCGGAGGAGCGCCCCCGACATGGCCCCGAGGGCGGCCAAAGCGGCCCCAGGGCCCAAGAGGACCGAGGCCCCCAAAAGGCCCTGAGAGCAGCCAGAGCAGCCAGCACGGCCCCAAGAGAGCCCCAGGAGGACCCCAGAGCGTGACCGCATGCTGCTGCACGTCCCTGACCAGGGCAACTCGCCTGCTCGTCTGTGGATGCGCTGGAGGGGATGCGCGAAGCGCCAAGAATTCGACCCAGGACCCCTTCCTGCCCCGGAGGCCGTATCCCTCACGGCACCATCTTTGACCCGCCGACCTCAAGCGCCCCTGCTCCTCCTCCAGCCGGCTGTGCGCCGCGAGCAGCTCCTGCAGCAGCTGAGGCGCGCCGTGCGCGGCGTCGTGCGCAGCCGCAGCTGGGCTGCACAGCAGCAGCCAGATCCACGACATGCGCGCCGCGTCGGCGCGGGCGGCTTGCACGCGAGCAGCCCCGAAGGCCGCTGCCACCACGGTGTGCTCACGCCGGGAGCGAGGACTTGAGCCAACATGGCAAATTACGCTCCGTCCTCGTCCTCGTCCTCGTCCTCATCTTTCTCCTCCTCTTCCTCCTCCTCCCCGTCCTCCTCCTCCTCCTCCTCCTCCTCCTCCTCCTCCGCCTCCTCCTCCTCCTCCTCCTCCTCCTCATCCTCCTCCGCCTCCTTCTCCTCCTCCTCCTCCTCCTCCTCCTCCTCCTCCTCCTCGTCGGTGCTACTGAGCGTGCTGTTGATGCGGGTGCCTTCCGCGTGGCGAGTCTGACTGATGCTGCCGCTGCCAGGAGGTGCGCCAAGGCCCAGTGAAGGCCCACAGACCCCGAAAACTGTTCAAAGCCCCCCGTCAAGATTCCTTCCCAAACATGCGACGTCCTGATGTTTCCTGGACGGCGCCCCCCGGAAGCCCCGACCCTTTCCCCGGGGCCGGTGTTTCATGCTGAGTCGCTTCTCGACGCCCCCCGGGCCCGGCGAGGGCCCCCAGGGGGCCGAACATAGCGAAAACCTCCCGTCCTGAGGAGGAGGAGGAGGAGGAGGAGGAGGAGGAGGAGGAGGAGGAGGAGAGGAGGAGCAGGAGGAGAAGGAGGAGGGGGAGGAGGCTTTGTTTGGCTGCTCTGGCAAGCAGCCGCACACCAACAGACGCTCGGAGCTCGAGCGCAGGCTCTCCTGGATCGGCGCAGATACCCCCCCCTCCCTCCCTGGCGCGCGGGGCGCGCCAGGGGGGGGCCTCCAGCGATGCTCCAGAGCATCCGGGCGGAGCTCCGAACGTTTTATGTCTTTGCGCCGGCTTCTCCCCTTCGACACCAGAGCCCGGAAATCGCAGCAACGGGAAAAAAAGCAGTCGCCATGCAAGGCCATGGTACAGTGGAGACCCATGCCAAGAAACACCCTGCTTGCCTCCAGAGTGCCCTGGGTTTCTTGGGTTTCGATGGTTTTGCCATGGAAATCGTGACGCTCCCACGCCCAAATTCGATGGGCGTCCTGGGGTCTCAGGGTTGGGTTTCTTGTGGGAGGTTTCTTGTGGTCGGGCCCCCACTGTACCACTCCCGCGTGGCGAGAGAACTGAACATGCTCCGGCCACCCAAGATCGCTGGCGACGTCGGGCGAAGAATAGCGCGACGGCTAACCGACGACGACGAACGACGAACGACGAACGATGAACGACGACGACGACGACGACGACGACGACGACGATGACCGACGAGGACGGCCTTTCCTTGGGGGGACGACTAATAAATCTGTCGCCGCCAAGGGCGCTCCTCTCTGACCCAGGATAGGGAAGGGAGGGGAGAGGGCCCCCTTTTTCTACACAGCCGTAACAGAAGTCCCTTCAATTCGCCATGAGGATGACATCTCGTGCCACTCTGAATATTCCTGACATGACATGCTGACTGCGTCATTCGACAGAGCAGCTCCCTACGATTTATAACCCCCTTATCCCCAAAACCGGATCGGAAACTCCTCCGCGCCAAGCCATATGAGTTATCGAGTGGGACGCGCCCAAGCGCGGAGTCGTTGGAGCTTTCTGCTCCGAGCTACTCTGCGCTGATGCGCCACTGGCGAAGACAGAGTAAAAGAAACTTCCGCCACGGTGCTGCATTCCGAGGCTGACATCAGCTTGTGTTGGAGGCCTGGAAATTTGCACGAACACCAGCACAGGGGGTTGCCTCCACAGGGGCAAGATGATCCTAGATTTCGGTGTTGGTGGTAATAGTTCGGCCACCCTGGAAGCCAGAATATGACCACCATCACCGAGATCGGGATCGTCCTGCCTCGGTGGAGGCACACCGCCGATCTTGGTGTTGGTTTCAACCTCTAGGCCTGCGATTCCGCCATGGTGATGCCTTCCGAGGCTGACATCAGCCTGTTCACGACCCGAGGGAGCCTGGGCTCCGTCGGCACGCAGGCAGGGCCCAAGGGCACACCACACCGCGCCCCTCCCGAACCAGAGCTGGACCCCGTGCGCACCGGCTCGGGCTGCATATCGGCACGGCACCAAGACCGCATCGCCGCGGCTTCGCCCGGAGGCGCACGGGCCCCAGACGCTCCCTGAGATCCCGGCGACTCGGGCTTTCCGAGCCGGGCGTTTTCGCACTCGGGCCCCGGGGCCCTCACGGATCGATCTGGCCCGAGAAGCGACGCAGAAAGATGGGGTCCGGGGATCCGGGGGGGACTTTTTGCTATGTGTTGCAGTGTTTCGCAGCGTCGGCTCTCAGGGTCTCGAGTTCATCAGCCTCGAGCCCCCGAAGCTCTGGGCCCTGTCCCAGGCCCAGACCCCCGACGTCATGAATTTTTCATGACGTCGACCCCCAGCGGTCTGGACCCATCCCCCGGGACCGGTTTTTCGTCCCGAGTTGTTTTTTGACGCTCCCGAGGCCCGGTGAGGGCCCCCGGAGGCCGAAAATTAGGAAAAACCTCCCGTCATGATTGTTTCATTACTCGAGGGGGTCTGGGGGGCCAGCTCTTCCGTTTGGGGCCGGTCCCGGTCGGGCGCCAGGCGAGGGCCCCCGGAAGCCGACGGCCGCGAGAAGACTTCCGAGCGGAGCTTCTCGAGGCGTTGGAGGCCTGGGAGGGGAGCAGTCCGCCACCGCGCCGCTGGGCGCGGAGGGGGCGTGTCCCCAGGTCGTTTGCCTAATGGAGGATGGCGATTCATGACAAAATGGGAGAGGACGACTAAAAAAACATAGCTCTCTGCCATTTCCGCACAATTTTCTGACTGGAGGAGAACGATGAGAAAGAATAGTCTTCCAGCCCGCGGCCGGTTTTTTTTCTAATCGTCATCCCGGGCGCCGCCGCGTGCACACGACCCCCGGTCATTTATTAATCGTCATCCTCCATTCATCCCTTGGGCCTCAGTCCTCACTCCTGAGGAGTCTTTGAAGGAGCCCGGGCTCCAGATTCGCAAATCTCCTGCTGGACCTTCCCGCGTCTTCTCGGGGTTCGTCGCGGGCCCGAGAGGGCCCCGATCCGAGGCAAGAAAGTCCCAAGAGGCCCCGAAGACGGTCCAAGCGGGCCTCGAGACTCCCAAAGATCGCGCCAAGACACCCAGGATGGTCCCAAGACGGCCCAAGATGACTCCGGGGCGCTGCAAGAGATCAGCAGGAGCCTTCCCAAGAGGGCCCCGAGGGCAAAATCATTGATCTCCCATAGGTTGTTCAATGATTTTGGGGTCCTCGACTTTTCGAGCTCCCGACGCTCCAAAACGGCCCAAGAGGCCCCTAGGACCAGCCCTAGGACTGCCCCAAGAGGCCCCCAGGAGGGCCCCAACACGGCCCAAGAGGGCTCCCAGACCGCCCCAAAGACGCCCAAGACGACCCAAGAGGGCGAACACGAGCGAAAATCCGGGTCTTACGCCCCAAAAATTCTCCATGGAGGCCCCAAGGAGGCCCCAGAGGCCCCCCACGAGGCCCAAATAGACCCCCAAGAGGGCCCCAAGACGGCCTCCCACGAGGCTTCAAACGGGCGCCCAAAAGGCCCCCGAGAGGCCTCCCGCGACATCCCAACGAGCATCCCAGAGACCTGTGACCCACAACACAGGCACGGTAGCGGGATAGGCCGCAGGCCAGTAGATCTCGGGTCATGACTCGGGTTAGGTCGGGCAGGCACTCCTACAAGCGGATGCTGGACAACAAATCAAAAATAGTCCAGAAATAAACCAGAGTATCCAACATTAGTCGAAAAATCGTCCCCAGACTATTTTCTGGCTATTTTTGAATTTCCCCCCTGCAGAGGGACGTGCCCGATTTGAGCCTCGGGCCTCCGGCGGCCGTTCGGGGCGATCCGGGCAGCCCCGGCACGCTCCCGGCGAGGCGCAGCTGCTGGAGCACCGCGAGGCGATCGGACCTGCAGGAGCCGGCGAGAGCTTCCGTCGAAGCTTCCGGCCATGGCCCCCCGAAGCAGGGGGCCACATGCGAACCCTACCCCTACCCTCCACGATTTCTGACGGGGAGGGTGGGGTGGAGCTCTCGAGCGAAGTGAACCCCACCCTTCCCCTCAGAAATCGTGGGGGGTAGGGTTATGTCGGGCGTGTCCCCCCCCCTACAGGGGGATTTTCGACGACAAATTAAAAATACCCCCCAAATGCCCCGAAAAGGTCAAACAAATACTCAAAAAATAGTCCCCAGACCGTTTTTGCAATATGTGTTGACGATTTTGGGGTGCATTTTTCATTTGTCGTCGAAAATCCCCCTGCAGGGGGGACAGGCCCGACTTCACCCTACGAGGCCCCACGACGGAGAGAAGCCTCCGCCCCGAGTCCCTCGAGGCGTTGGAGGTCCGGGGCGCAGTGCAGGCACGCGGCCGGCCCGCCGAGGGTCGTCGGGGTGTAGGAACGGGAGGGAGGAGGGAGGGAAGGGAAGGAGGGAGGGAGGAGGGCGGAGGGAGGGAGGAGGAGGAGGAGGAGGGAGAGGGAGGGAGGAGGGAGGGAGGGAGGGAGGGAGGGAGGAGGAGGAAGGAGGGAGGAGGAGGAGGAGAGGAGGAGGAGGAGGAGGTAGGAGGAGGAGGGAGGGAGGGAGGAGGAGGGAAGAGGAGGAGGGGAAACCAAAAGGTATCCATACACCGCTACGGTGGGGGCATTGGCTCAAGGAATGTCAGGGTCGGGTCTGGAAGCCGGTGGAGCACCAGCTGAGGCTTGGCCACGGACGTCACCGCCGCCCCTCGAGGAATCCTCCAAGGTCTGAAGCCTGCCGGACGTATTCTTAGAGGCCTCACAGATGGGGTCGGAGCAGATGGGGTCGGGGGATGGAGCCGCATCGGCGATGCATCGCCGATGCATGGGCGATGCGCCCGCGATGCCGACAATGCATCGGCGCCATCAGCGTGGAGAAATTCGGGCTCCACATCGAGCCGCATCGGCGGTGCATCGGCGATGCGGCGCGATCCTCCGACCCCCCGTCGGGAGGCCCAGATTTAAGTCGGGCGTGTCCCCCTGCAGGGGGATTTTGGGCGAAACAAATACTCAACAAATACTTCCCGACCCGACGTATCTGCCCCGCAACGCGCGGCCTCTCCGAGGCCAAGCGGGCAGACGCCGGTCGGGCCCGTGGGGGAGCACCACCCCCCTCCCCACCCCCAGGGCGGGTTGGGCGGGCCAACGACAGCACGTGGTCACTATGGACCTGACGAGAGGGCCCGATAGGGCAAGTGAACGCAGCAGGCCGCTGTGGGCCGCAACGAAGCCACAATGGGCCGCAACGAAGCCACAATGGGCCGAACGAAGCCCCAGCGGGCGGAGGGCCGAAACCCGACACACGGCACGGTATTTTATACCCCGCCCCAGTACCCAGGCGGAGGAAGCACGGCACGGCACCGCAGCGCACGACGCGAGCAGGAGGCGGACGCGGACCGGCCAGCGCGCGCCCGACCAGCCGAGCGAGGGCGCCCCCGCGGCCAGCCGCGGGGTCGTTACCAGCGCGGGCGGAGTTGTGCCAAGCAGTGACTCCGTCATTCCGACCCAGAAAATCGTCCCCAGACTATTTCTTGACCATTTTTGAATACTCCCCCGTCGGGAGGCCCAGATTTGAGTCGGGCGTTTCCCCTTGCAGGGGGATTTTGGGCGAAAAATACTCAAAAAATACTTCCCCACTAAGCCAAAAAAATCGTCCCCTGACTACTTATTGACTATTTTCGAATACTCCTCCTGTAGAGGGACAGGCCCGACGTAAGCCTAGATGAACTGACGCCCACACCGTGCTCCCGGGACCTCTCCCCCGGGTGCGCGCTGAGCAGACTGGCGAGGCGAGCCCAGCGGCGGCGGCCAGGGCCTCCCGGGAGGCCCAGCAAGGGCGAGAACGGTGCAAGGGCGGCGGCAATGCGGCTCTCCCTGGACTCTTGGGGGCCTCGGAGTGGCTTCTCCGGGGCCTCCTGGGTGGCCCCCGTGGGCCACTATGGGGGCCCCCCGGGCCGCCTTGGAGGCCTCTGGAGTCGCCTCGGGCTTTCAGATGTCCGAAACGGCCGGAACGCGAACACCCTTGTACAAACGACGTCAATGACTATGGTTTCTTCGGTCCTGCTGGGAAGGTGTCTTGGAGCCCTCTCGGGCTGTATCGGGGGCCTCCTGTGCCGTCTTAGCGCCACCTTCTCCTCCTCGGGCCGGCCAGAATCGACATCGAATCAACTCGATCGGATCGAAATTGTGCATGCTGGCGCCCCCCCCGATCCTGCACGCATGGATGCGCCGCCGCCAGCGCACTTGCGAGAGAGGACGGGCAGGAGAGTGGAGAGGAGCGAGAGAGAGCGAGAGGCAGAGGAGGGGGGGGACCGAATCTAGAAGAAAAAACGATAAACATCAACTTTTGGCGCTCCGCGCGGGTTTCTTGGATCTGCGCTGGGGCCCCCTCACTGGCGCGCGGAGCGCCCCGGGGGCGGCGCTGGAGGCGCCGCCGAGGGGCCCGGCGCGGAGCCGAGAAATCCGCGCGGAGCGCCAAAAGTTTATGTTCATGGCGCCTTGTCCTCCTCGAGAACCGACGTGGAATCGAACCGTCCGCACCGAAGTGGGCCCCAGGGCCGAACATAAAACGATGTTTTTCGGTTGCTCTTTGGTTTCGTCTTCCCTCGCTTTTGCCTCGCATCCGCCTTTATACCGCAAGACGAAGTCGAAACGAAAACGGCCCACGAAATCACCAAAAACGCCGTTTGGGTCCGGCCCTGGTGGGCCCCACGGGGGTCCGGGCCCCCCCGCGCGTTTGTCTTCGTTCTCCCTCGCTTTGGTCTCGAATCCGCTTTTCTACCGCAAGACGAGGTCGAAACGAAAACGGCCCACGAAATCACCAAAAACACCGTTTGGGTCCGGCCCTGGTGGGCCCCACGGGGGTGGAGGAGGAGGAGGAGGAGGAGGAGGAGGAGGAGGAGGAGGAGAGGAGAAGGAGGAGGAGGAGGAGGAGGAGGAGGAGGGGGAGGAGGAGGAGAGAGGAGGAGAGGAGGCGGCGGCGGGCCCCCCCCGCGCGGGCATGGCCTCCTCCGTCGCGGCGCCCCGCGGCGCCGCGGCCGCCTCCGCCGCGCCCTGCTCCCCGGCGGCGTCCTCTGGCGAAGGGCCCGGGGAGGCGCTTCTTGAAAGTGTGATATGATATAAATATGGGCATGCATCTATATAGATAGAGAGAGAGAAGGAGAGAGACAACGAATCTCTATATATATATGAAGAGAGAGAGAGAGAGAGAGAGAGAGAGAGAGAGAGAGAGAGAGAGAGAGAGAGAGAAAGAGAGAGAGAGAGAGAAAGAGAGAGAAAGAGAAAGAGAGAGAAGGAGAGAGCGATATAGAGAGAGGCGATTTCCGAAGCCACGGGCCCAAAAAGCGTTGAAACCTCTTGGGGGCGGCGCACTCTTTCCTTCCGCGGCCTTCCGCCGGCTCCCGCCGCGCGGGGGCGGCCTCGCTTTACTTCCGCCGACCTTCTGCCGACTTCCCGCCGTCTTCTGCCGCAGAAGAGATGACAACTCCTTCGATGTTCGAAGGCAAGGTCCTTTTATGGAACGCGCCATACGTAAACAAGACAAACAATTATCCATACCAAAAAAGCAAAGAACGCGGCCACCAGAGTTCGACACCTCGGCTATGCAAGACCACGGTGCGAATCAGCAGAGAACCAGGGAGCCCGGGGGAGGCGCAAATGATTGGACACGAATTCCAAGATCCCCAGTATTTGTCCACAGTTCCTGAAGTTTCGTCTTCCCCTCCGTTTCCCTGTATGTTCCCATCTCTTCTTGGACATCGACGATCACTTGCGCCTGTGCCTATTTTTCTATCCCGATCTTGGGGCCCCCAAACTGGTGCGGTGACAGACCGTGCAGAAACCTTGGAATCCCCAAGAGACCTCCCTGCTCGGTCCGTCGGCGCAATGTATAGCCGGGTTGCCGAATCCCCACCGACCGAGGACGACGATAAGGAGGAGGAGGAGGAGGAGAAGGAGGAGGAGGGAGGAGGAGGAGGAGGAGGCGCAGGAAGAGGAGGCGCAGGAGGAGGAGGAGGAGGAGGAGGAGGAGAGGAGAGAGGAGAGGAGGAGGAGGGAGGGAGGAGGAGGAGAGGAGGAGGAGGAGAGGAGGAGGAGGAGGGGGGGGAGGAGGAGGAGGGGGAGGAGGAGGAGGAGGAGGAGGAGGAGGAGGAGGAGGAGGAGGAGGAGGAAAAGAGGAGGAGGAGGAGGACGGAGGAGACCACCCGGTCGGCGGGCAGAGGCCGTGGAGCTGCTCGCGGCGAGGCTGCCCTTCGTCTGGGGCGCACAGGCGGCGCTTGCCGCCTGCCGCAACACTCGTCGTCGTCGTCGTCGTCGTCGTCGTCGTCGTCGTCGTCGTCGTCGTCGTCGTCGTCGTCGTCACCGTCGTCTCTCGCGTCCGAATGCTGGGTAATTACCTGGGCCGTAACTCGGGTCTCCGGCGACCGCTCGGGACGATCCGGGAACCGCCAGAGCGCCCCCTGGCGACGCGGAGCTGCCGGAGCGCGCTCCGGGGCAGGAAAGCCGCCAGGAACGAAAGAAAACGCCCGAGCATGCCAGGTGCACGGCGTTCGCCTCGCTCCTCGCTTCTCGCTCCTCCTGCCCCCCTCACCTCTTCCTTCCGCGTTCCTCCTGTCTCCTCGCGCCTCGCTCCTGAGTCCTCGGTCCTCGCTCCTCCCTCTCCTCCTCTTCGCTTCCTTCTCTGGAGACCTCTTGGATGGGGTCCTAGTTAGTAGACGGGGTCGGAGGTTTACACCGCATCGCCGATGCATCGGCGGCGCCGGCGCGGAGAAAATCGGGCTCCACATGGGGGCCGCACCGCCGATGCCTTGGCGATGCGACGCGACCCGCCGACCCCATCCGGGAGCCCGAGATTCTCCTCTCCCCTCGTTCCCAGACCCCCCGACGTCGTGATTCGTTCACAACGTCGACCCCCAAAAGTCTGGACCCCTTCCCCAGGACCCGTTCTGCTCCTGAGTCGTTTTTTTTTTCTGACACTCCCAAGGCCCAGGATGGGCCCCCGGAGGCCGAACGTGCCGAAAAAACGCCCGTCGTGATTTTCTCGCGACGCGAGGAGGTCGGGGACCGCTGGGGGCTCCCGGGGTCCTCCGCCTCGGCGCCCGGCGGTGCCAGGCCCCGCTCGATGGCCGACTCCCGCTCCGTGGGCAGGTCTTCAGCGACCGCCCGCTCGGCCTCGGCGGTCTGGCGCTGCTGGTCAGTGGCCTGTTGCGGCCGGGAGAGAGAGAGAGAGAGAGAGAGAGAAACAAAAAAAAAACAGACAACCAATAGAGGTGCCAGGAGCGCCCCTGCACCTCCGGCCTTGCGGCCGGGACGGGGGGGGAGAGAAGGGAGGGGAGGACAGGAGGGCGGGGAGGAGACGGGAGGGGAGGGGAGGAGTGGGGCGTGGAGGGAGGGGGGGGGAAAGGAGGGGAGGACACGAGCGGAGGGGGGCTGGGGAGAGGGGTGGGGAGAGGGGGCGGGAGGGGACGGAGGAAGTGGGCGGGGAAAGGCTGTGGGCGGGGTAGAGGATGGGTCCAAATCCTGCTGGCCCAACCGAGCCTGGAGGTGATGTTCAGCAGGCCCTTGTCATTGTCCGACAGTGTGTCTGCCGCCTTGATATCACACGCCCCACAATATGCGAAGAGGTTCGCCCAAGCATGCCCAACATAGTGCGCAAGACTGCCCCCACTGGCAACAGAATCGTAAGACTCCTTCTGAACAGGGACCCGCTCGAACTGACATGGAACAACATATTCTCGGCGCTCTCGGAGTTTAGTTATCCATACCGACGCATGTTTCGATGAGGCTGTCGCTCGCGGAAGCGACCATCTTAGCATCTTCGCCGAAACTGATGTGATCCGACACGATCAGGCCTGGTCTCGGCATGCTTCGAAGGCCATCAGCCTTGCATATCTCTCGCCCTTCGGCACCGACTGCTCGATGCCAGGAGATCACTCCATGCAGCGCTCGAGCTGGCCAACCAGACTGAGGACACAGCTGGGCCACTGCCCGGCCCACCCAACAAAGCGCCGGATGATCGCCGCGCAGTCCCGAGGCGCCGGAGTAGGCCACAGGTCCTCATGCGCCACTGTGTCGCCCCACTCGAGCAGGTCTGTCCTCGCCCCTGGGGATGCAGCGGCTCCCTCGGCAGACCGCGCGTGAAATCGAAGACCTCGCAGTCGCGTCAGTTCTCGTCCACCAAGTCGCCGCAGTTCTCGTCCGCCAGCTTGCGACGACTCGACCCCCCCCGAACTTAATCGCGTCCTCTGGGACGGGCCCGGGCAACGCCTCGGACACCCCCAGCAGCGTCTCACGAACAATCCACTGGTGGGAAAGGGCGCCACTGGGATCATCGCTGTGAACGCAGTATCTGGACTCGGCAGGTCCCAAATCCAAAGCCCTGCGTGGACTCAGAAAGCCGCCGCGCCAAAGCCAAAGCCACTTAGCACAGCAATTGTGCATGACTGAGATCATCTGCCAGACCCGCAGGGCTGAGCATCCCCCAGTTGGTCCCGCGCAGGGTCGACCACGCCGAGGGCGCTGGGCCCCTCGCCATCTGCCGATCGGCGTGGCACGGGCAAACATATCCCCCCCCATGTTGCCAAGCATCGTGCAGCTCCGACACGGGGGTGAGATCGCCTCAGACTTGACAAGCGAGGTCGCGCAATCCGAACTTGAACGCATGCGATCGCCTGGTCGCGTGAACAAGGCAGAGCGCGAGCGAAGCGATCCTGGCAATTCCGACCGGGCCGCCACTGCGTGACTGCTTGAGCACCGTGTCTGCGGCACCGTTGGCCCCTCCATTTCGACCAGCCCATGTCAAGCGCCCTGCGCACAGCAACGACCCCGCTGATTCGCGCGCCCTCTCCCTCAACTGCCATGCCTTCCCCCTCCGTTAAGGGGAACCTCAATATTTCCCGACTCCTGCGCGCGCAAAGATCGTGCACCGTGCACTTGCTGTCCTCAGTGACGAACGCGCCGCTTGGACTTCAGCTGCGCGCATTTACCCCCGAGGAGAAGCGCAGCTGAAACCTGACCGTCGCAATGCATGTCCAGACCCACTCCTCTGCAACGCCAGTTCTAGCTTCAACGCGCCTCCACCTAGGTCCCTGACGCATATGTTGAGGGTCTCCACGCCCCACCCCTAGGATCCGGTCCGTGCCACTGCGCAATGATGTCATCCATGAGCGCGCGCGCCGCGTCGCACCTCCTATGCATGCTGTCCATGAACCTATGCACCCCCATCTGAACCTTGTAGTCGCGTAGATACACTCTGCCAATGTGCCCAAATGTGGAATGAACGCGCTGCTCGCGTTCGCGCGCGCGCACCGCGAGGGGCACCGCGCGGGGCGCCGCGCGCGCCCGGAGGATCCCCCACATGAGACTCATAGGGTGCCTCAAAATTCGGGCTTCCTCCGTGACTTGAGACATCGGATACTTTCGCAACGCTTGCACATGTCGACGCAGACTGTGGTGACATGACACTTGGTAGCGTTAGCTGCTTCCGGCTTCAGATTGGGATGGGACGCGCAATCACTCGACTTTCGCCCTGCCCCCCCCCCAGTAGGATGGGCATGGGTGCCATGCTTCCCGCCCCGCACTCATGGGTCACATTGCGCGCCACCATATCCTCATCAACGTGTTCGACAAAGTTGGCAGCGCGCAGGCTCTGATTCACTACTCGCCCAGGAAGCGCGGCAGCTGCTTGCAATAATTGCACCACGCAGCCAACGCCCCGAGCGCTGCGTGGGGCAGCTGCCAGAAATGTCAAGGTCGCACTCGCACTTGCCCGCGGCCTGCGCGCCAAGCAAAACGCAGAATTGCGCGTCGAAGACGAGCGCCGCGCAACTTCAGCAGCTGCCCCCACCTGTTCGCAGGGGAGAGGGGGCCGTTCCGCTCAATGCACCAGCCAGAACCAGGTATCCTTCCACGTCTCTCGAGCTCCGCGGCAGCCAGATGTCCTCGACGACGGGCGAAACGACGCCAGCACCGGCGCGAAGAGCCCCCGGCGCCCACTTTTTCCCAAGGCTCTCGCGCCTCGCGTGCGAATGCGTCGCCAGCTGCGCCTCGGCAGCGGGAGCTTCCATCTGGACCTCCAGCTCAAGGCCCCCCTGCCGCGTTAGAAAGCCGGCTATGAAAACCGCGCTGCCTCCTGATCCGGCGCGCTGCCTCCTGATCCGATTCCACCGTCGGTCTGCTGATTCTCTCGATCGGCGACTGCGTCGACTGGCCCCTGGTCCTTGACTTTGCCCCGGCTCTTGCCCTCTGTGAAATGCTGCTGCCTGGGGGCCGCCGTGCCTCTATTGGCCGGGCTGCCCAGCGCATTCCATTATGCTGCCCGGTCCGCTGGCTACGGATGCGAATGATCGGGCAGCTTGACAGGTGGCGCCCTGCCGTCGGCTCTCCGCCCCCATTCGAGACCAACCAGCCCGCTCCGGGAGGAAACTACTTCCCAAGCCGCGCGAGCTGACGACGGCGCCATTGAAGTCGACAATGCACGGGCTGCTCAGTCAACCCCCGCGCGCCCCCAGGGAATGTGCTTCCCAGGCCGCGCGAGCTGTCGGCGCCGCTGACGACGCCGCCCCCCTTCTCGCTGCTGCCCTGCTCGCTCCGAAGGAAAACTACGTCCCGTGCCGCGCGAGCTGGCGACGGCGCAGTTGAAGTCGACGACCCACTGGCTGCTCCGTCCGACCCCGCGCGCCCCCGGGGAATGCGCTCCCCAGGCCGCGCGAGCTGTCGGCGCCGCTGATGGCGCTGCCCCCCTTCTCGGTGCTGCCCCGCTCGCTCCCGGGGAATGTCTCCCTGGGCCGCGCGAGCTGCCGACTGCGACTTCGAAATAGCCGAGCGATTGGCTGCTCCGCCCATGTCTGCGCCGCTCGCTCGCGGGGGGCGCGCTTCCCGGGCCGCGCGAGCTGTCGACGGCGCTGTCTACGCTGTCGCGCTGCGCGCTGCAGCCGAGCCCGCGCGATCTGATGGCGGCGCCGCTGTAGCAGTCGACCCGCTCGCATCCCCGCGCGGGGCGCCGGCGACGTCGAGCCCGGGGCGCGGCGCCAGAGCTGCGGCGCTTGGGACATGCGATCGAACGCCCGGAAGTACATCGGCGACGTTGAGCCCGGGGCGCTGCGCCGAAGCCGCGGCAAATCGGACTTACAATTTAACCGCGCGCGCTGCAGATTCGACGCCGCTGGCCAGTCCGCCACCTTGGATCCGGCGCAACAGGGCGCTGAATAACGCGCTAACGCTCCGAACGTGCGCGGCGCATTTGGCAGCGTTTCTCCGGTCATGATCTACGTCGTCCCACTCGTTCTGTGCGCCCCCCTCCATCTTGCTCTCCTGGGTGCGTTGTCTGCGCCCGCGCGTGGGCAGGACCGGGCCCGCTGCGCCACCTGCGATGTCACGCGCGTCCGCCAACCCCACCCCAATCGCAGACTTCCCTTCCGGCCGAGCTAGGCACGAGACAACTCCGCCCGATCGAATGCCTTCTCAATTATGCTGATCACTGCGCCTTGCAAAAAAGGGCATCTGGCGCGCCCGCGCTCGACCTCTGGCAGCAATGCCATCGGCGCGTTGACCTCGCGCAGCAATCAGGGCCCCTCTTTGTTTCCCAGCCATGGGCTATCATACGATATGCAACTTGCTCTCTCCCCCCGCCCCCCCCCCCCGCCCTCCACAGTCGGTCGGGACACCCCCGCTCAATTCTTCGGCGGCCAGACAAAAGTCAATGGCAACCCATGAAGGTGACTGATTGCACGTCTTTGTCCTGGTCGTCATGGTGAAGTCCCCCAATAGATCACAACCAATCATGACTGCCTACCTGATCGCTAGGCATGTTGGAATCACCTCGGACAACCCACGGCGATCTTTTCTTTGGTACATGCGAAGACAGTGTTCGCAATATTCAAATATTCCTGTTCGACACGCTATCTCCAACAGAAACGTCTATCGAACATGTGAGGATGCACTTGGCAGCCTGGCAGCCCCCAGCGCACGTGAGTGGCTACCAGGCAGTTTGTTTTTTGGGGTGGCACCGTTCCCTGCACCGTCTTGCTGGCTGATGTAATCGCAACTCGCGTAGGCATTAGCACTACTACGCCTGATGAGATACCTATCAACGGCGTAGCCAACGCCTCCAACCATACTCCGTGCCAGCGCGTATTGCCCAGCTTGTGCTGGGCGCCAGCAAGTCGGTCAAATTTCCCCTGGTGCTCCTGGACAAATAGCACCATGGCGTTGCATGTCCGCATGTACCCGACCAGCTGCTGGAGCGAAGTACAATTAAGGGTCTCAGCACACTTTGCACCAGCCGTTCCTACATTGCGGAAACGATGGTAACAACAAACCACCGCTCCCACCATCGTTCAGCCCTGCCTCATCACTGAGCCGCTTGGCAACAGCCCGCAGGTCGGCCTCGCCCTCTGGAACGTGTTATTCCAACAACTGCGGCAACTTTCGCAACACCTCCGCTTCCTCTCGGCCAGTAGGAAGAAGAGCATCAGGATGCTGCTCGGGAAGAGGAGCGCATGGCTGAGGTTGAACTGCCATTACGGAGGCTGCTCCTGCAGGTTGGCTGCTGGCAGCGTCGGCAGCCTTGGGCGGCAGCTGCATCTTCTTCTCTGCCTCCACCAGGACCTGCATGACGGCCTCGAATTGGTTCGACACGGCATCCGCGTTTTGCTCCCCCAACCGCATGAGTGTGAACATGGCGCCGACCGACGAACCAATGTTCCCGATTGTAGACGCCAACGTTCGTTCAACTGTCACTTTGGACTGCGCCTCCGATGCCTCCTTGAGTTCCGCCTCCTGTGATACAGTCTGTTCGAGGACCGCCACCAAACCAAACCCCGCCTCGGCCAGCACAGCGTTGGCCTCTTCGGAGGCATGCTTGGCCTGTTCGGCTTTCTCGAGCCTTTGTTTTGAATATCCAATTGCTTCTTCTGACACGATGTCGTGCGCCCTGGACTTGACGGGCCGTGCCGTGCGCAATTTGGCCTTGCACGCGTCCCCGTGCCTCTCGAGATGCGTCTCTTGCTCCAGAACAAGCTTCGTGGCTGGCTCCCTCGGTAATACCTTGAGCATGCGACCAGCCTCCGCAAGCTCCGCCTTGTATTGATCATTGTGACATGTGGCTCCGTTTCCGGCGCCGATCGCCATCGAGTCCGTGCCACCCTTTCGAATCCAACTGCAGGCGTGGCTCGGCGAGCTCCTTTTCGAGTGCTTTATCCCTTGCCGTCTTGGGACCATCTCTTTCCTTCTGCCTTGCCGCGGTGGACCTCGACGGAGACTTCGGCGGCATGGGGCCGTTGAAGGCAATGCTCGCGTCGCATGCAAAGGCGCTGGCCTCCACTATCTTCCTCCCCACCGATTCGTACACCACCTGCGCAGCCGCGGGTGGAGTCCACGCCATGCGCTGCTGCTGGTGACGACGACCGACGACGACGACGACGACGACCGACGACGACAACGACGACGACGACGACCGACGACCGACGACGACGACGACGACGACGACGACGGACGACCGACGACGACGATGACGCAGACGTGTGCTGCATAGCAGCGCAAAGCCTGGCCACGGCAAAGGATGACGTGCAGTGCGGGGCGGGCCACGCAGCGCTCTGCCCGGGGGCGAGCCGGGCGACACGGGAGCACAGGCCACGCATCAGCGGTGTCCAGTGGGCCCACAGGGAACCTCAAATGCGTGAGCCAAAATGGCCACGAGGAGGAGGAGGAGGAGGAGGAGGAGGAGGAGGAGGAGGAGGGAGAAGAGGAGGAGGAGGAGGAGGAGGTGAAGAGGAGGAGGAGGTGAAGAGGAGGAGGAGGAGAAGGAGGAGGAGGGCTGGGTCGTACACGACTGGGTCCACAGGGAACTTCAAAATCTTGAGCCAAAGCGGCTACGGAGGGGAGGGGTAGAGGAGAGGGGAGGAGAGAAAGGGGGGAGGGGAGGGGAGGCGGCACCCCAGGGGGGAGGGGGCTCATCCTCCTCCACCTCCTCCCTCTCCTCACCCACCACCACAACCACCATCATCATCTTCAGCAGCAGCAACATCAACACCACCACCACAACCATGATCACTACGACCATCAACATTCACCGTCATCCTCGTTCTCATCCTCATCCTCGTCGTCCCCCTCCTCACCCCCCTCCGCTCGTCCATCTCGGCACCCTCGTCCACCTCTTGTTCCTTCTCTTGGTGAGAAACTGCTCCTCGTCGCACGACCACCAGGCGGACCGGGCGTGTCGCTGGGCACTTCTCCACAGCGTACGAACATAAACCTCGACATCTCCAAGAGGAGGAGGAGGAGGAGGAGGAGGAGGAGGAGGAGGAGGAGGGGGAGGAGGAGGAGGGGAAGTGAGGGGGAGGAGGAAGGGAGGGAAGGGAGGAGGGGAGAGGAAGGAGGGAGGGGAGGTGAGAGTAGGAGGGGGTTCTTCAGCACAGGATCTCGCGCCTTCGCGCCGAGCGCGACAGAGCCTCCTGCGAGATGGCATCCTCCTGCGCGAGGGAAAGCGGGGCGGGAACTCGAGCAGCGCTCGCCCGCAGACACTGTCCACAGCTGCACGGGTGGGCCCCGCTTTTTCAAAAAAGCAGCAGCAACAACAACAACAACAGCCACACCAACACCCACACAACATACCCAGGCCGAAACAGACACCAACACCAACACACAAAACACCAACACCACCATCTCAACCACAACAACAACCACCAACAAGAACCCCCAACACCGCACGACCACAACCAACACCACCATCATCACAACACACCGACAACAACACAACAACACAACAACACCAACGACCAACACCAACACCAACACCACCAACGCCCACACCAACACAAACACCCGAACAACAAACCAACAAACACCAACACCACACACACCAACACCAACACCAACACCACCAACAACAGCAGCAGCAGCAATAAAAAAAACATACAAAGAAAACAAACAACAAACAAAAGCACAAAGAACGACAATCAAAACACACAATCAACAAACAACAACAACAGCATCAGAAAGTGGCGGCCCACGCCCGAGGCTGCCGTCGGGCTCGGGAAGCCCTGGGGCTGCTCGCAGCCTGCACGGCTGGAGGACCCCCTCGGCATCCGGCCGCTCCTTCGGGCGCCCCGGGGGGCGCCCGCCGCCGCACGGGGCGGAGGGCGGCCCCCTGCCGGCGCCGTGCCCTCGCTCCGGCGCCGTGCAGGCCTGCACACCTTGACCAGCTGGTCCTCACACGTGCCGTCGCTCGGGCGTCCACTTTTCCCGTGCATCGTTCGGTTTCGCTTTTTTTGTTTTTTTTTTTGCTCGATGGTCCAGGAGGGTCCTCGAGGGTCCTCGCCGAGAGCAGAAGTGCACACGCCCGAACGATGCCAGGCACATCTGCCTCCTTGCGCATGTGACGTGTGATACCAGCTGCGTGGACTGAGGGCGACCCCGCCCCACGTCGCCTGCGTCTGGTGACGTCAGCGGCCGAGCATGAACCAACAGTTCTCCACTCAAAACATATAGCACCCCAGCCATGCAGAAGCATGCTTCCAAACTTCCGAAGCGTGGGCCGACTGCAGCGACACCAAACTACCAGTGAGGAGAACATCGCGGGGTCGCACTGCGAAAGCGCGGAGATTCTTGCGCACGCTCACCAGGGAAAAACAGTTAAACAAACTGAGGCGCCCATGACGGGACAAGCACGTAATATCACGATGGGCCTCCACCAGGCCACCCAAGTGCAGGCCTCGCAGGTGGGATAGCATGGGGCCAAGCGGTCTTTGCAAGGCGCAGCAGAGCCGCGCGATGCCAACTGACGTGCTGCACGCGTTGAAATGACTGGCAGACTGAACGCTAGAATTTTGCGCCACAACTGTTACTTCACACTTACCGCGATCCCGTCACGTCGAGCTGCAGTGAATCGCACCAAGAGCATACTGCAAGCGTGCTCAGTGTACAAGCAGGGTCCGAGCAAGGAAGCAGACGATGAAAGGAAGAGGAGAGTGTGAAAGACAGTGGCGGACTCAGCACACGACGATGACACAGTCCCAAGAATAAAGGTGCCCGCCGCAGTGGCGCACAGCCGCCCGCATGTAGGAGCAGAAAACGGCGCAGGCCCCGACGCCGGGCGGGTGGCTGAATTCCCTGGCCCCATCGCCGGACGCAGCCTCCGAGGATCCTTGCAGGAGGTCCGGATCAGCAGGGGCGCGACGTAGGGGACCCGTGAAGATCCAGCCTAGGGCCTCAGGCGCACAAGGGCCTCCTGGTGGTCCGCACGCTCGGGCCAGCCCCTCAGCTGCAGCAAAGCTGGAAGTGGTTTGGTCCGCGGCGTCGAGCAAGCGTTCGGATGCCTCGGCAAGCAAATGTGACACATAGAGAGGGGAAGTGGCGCCAATCAAAGCCCCTCGAACGGGGACTCCACGAACGGGTACTTTGGCCAGTGACCCGGCAAACCCAATCCTCCCCGATGTGGGCAACGCTGCAATGCCAGAAAGAGGCCCTAACGTGGCAACTTTGGGAAGTTTTCCTTGGTACCCGTTAGTGAATACCCGCTACGGTGCCGCTGAGCGAAGGGCGGGAAGAAGAGGCCGGAAGCGACGGGGACACGCTCAGCGCATGTAGATCACCGCGCAGGGCACAGGCTTACACCTTGAGCTACACTGGCCTGGGGGCTTGCACCATGCCCGCCCACGGGACTCTCGCCCTTGGCAGCGGGCGCTCGCCGTGGATCGCCCCGGCGGCGCGAAATAGCTGCTCATGTTGACTTGTCAGGGGAGGGCGTGGGACAGGAGGGCCTGTTGCAGCATCAGTGGTGCATGTGTGGGTGTGTTCTGGATTTGCCCTCCTCCTCCTCCTCCCTCCCTCCCTCCCTCCCTCCCTCCCTCGCTCCCACTCTTCCCAGCTCAGCCGCAACCACCGTCTGCCGGCCCCGCTGGGCCGAGGCCTTGGCGTCGACCTTGTCCTGGAGGTCCCTGATCTGCTGCTTCAGCTCCGCAAAGAGGTCCATCTTGTCGTCCTGCCAGGGCGGCGGGAGGGAGCGGGGGGGCCAGGGGAGGGAGGAAGAGGGAAGCCACGGGGAACGAGGGGGGGCCATCCTCCAGCTCCGCCAGCGCCGCCTCGTGCTCCAGCTCCTGCTCCTCCAGCTCCTGCTCTTCCTCCTCCGGCTCATCCGCCCTCTTCTCCTCCCTTGACGCCTTGACTTTTGATTCCTGCGATGCCCCTGCTGTTCCAAGCCCTCCTCCGCCTCCTCATCCGCATCACCTCCACCACCACCACCACCAGTAGAGCCATCATCACAACCATGATGATCCTGCTGCTGCTGCTGATGATGATTGTGGTGGTGATGATGATGATGATCCTCATCATCAGCAGCAATAGCAGCATCACCACCATCATCGTAATCTTCAACTTCGTCATCATTCTCGTGATGGTCATCATCACCACCATCATGATCACCACCATCATGATCACCACCATCATCATCATCATCATCATCATCATCATCATCATCATCATCATCATCATCATCATCATCGTCATCATCATCATCATCATCATCATCATCATCATCATCTCATCATCATCATCAGCATCATCATCATCATGCTCATCATCATCCTCATCATCTCATCATCATCATCATCATCATCATCATCATCCCCCTCCACCTCCTCCTCCTCCTCCTCCTCCTCCTCCTCCCTCCTCCTCCTCCTCCTCACCCCTCCCCCTCCTCCTCCTCCTCCTCCTCCTCCTCTCCTCCTCCTCCTCCTCCTCCTCCTCCTCCTCCTCCTCCTCCTCCTCCTCCTCCTCCTCCTCCCCCTCCCGCCTCCCCCTCCTCCTCCTCCTCCTCCTCCTCCTCCTCCCCTCCCTCCTCCTCCTCCTCCTCCTCCTCCTCATCCTCTCCCCTCCTCCTCCTCCTCCTCCCGCGCGAGGGTTGTGGCCTCCGAGCGGAGGCGGCGATCGCCGCCCGCCCCGTTGCGCGACTGCCCTCGGCGCTCGCGCCGCGCAGCGCGGGGGCGGGAGCGGCGTGCGCGGGGGGGGGGGGGCGAAGGGCCTCGCCTCCCCCGCTGCTCGCCTCCTTCGTACGACTTCCTATAACGACGCGAAGATCGGGACAAAATCGGATCGGGATAACTCGAACTCTCTGAGAATCGGGGCTTGGCGGATGTATTGGGCGACGGGCACGCTCCCTGAAGCGTTCCGGAACGCTCTGAGAGCGCTCTGGAACGCTCTGGAGCGATTTATCCCGATCCTAGCCCTGTTTTACTTCCAGTCGCGGACTCGGAGCTCGCGCGGGCCGGTCGGGCAAAGCAGGGCGAACCTGCAAAGCCGACTGGCGCACACAGAGGCGCCGAGGAGGCGAGCGGCGGCCGCGGGGGAAGAGGAAGGCAAAGGCCCCCCCCCCCCCCTCCCTGCGCATTGCGTGCGGGCAGTTGCGGGTCCGCCGTGGCACCTGTCAGCGGAAGGCAAAGGCAGCGCAGTTGGAGGGGATGGGGAGGCGTGGGATGTCGGATATGGTGCGAGCGCACCAAGCTTGCACCCCTCTCTCCCCGATCTCCCCCTCACCGCCGCCTCAGGCAAGGGGGAGGGATGGGGGGCAGAGGGGAGGGGGGAGAAGAGGAGAGAAGAGCAAAGAAACATTAACATCGGATAAGGCGCTGGGGAGGCGCTGGAGGCGCCGCCAAGGGGGGTCCAGCGCCGACCAAAGAAATCTGCGGGGAGCTCATTCTGTGTTGTGCTGGAACATGCATCGCTTCGGTTTAGCGGCTTCCAGTTGCTTTTCGTAGCTCTCGGTGCTGCCCCACCCTCCTCAACAACAACGACAACGACAACGACAACGACAACGACAACGACAACAACAACAACAACAACAATCATTGTACCCGAACGCGTGGTGTTCTCCCCAGTGCCAGGGTTTTCATACGACACCAGGCAATACCCCCACTTCGTGGGGGGGCATTACAAGCTCTACCAAATATCCAAACGACTCTTCGCGACCACCCAACCCCAGCTTCCCGCCCTATGACGTTGGGACACTTCACTTCGTGGCGTGCGGACGACCGTGGCTACTACACTGGCGTGGGGTACACACCCACAGAACTTGGTCACTTATTCGTGGCGCGCATGTGCCCAGCATGGTGCAATTGTGCCATACAATACATAATACAGAGAGACGAATGTGTCCCGCATGGTATTATTTGACAGGGATGATGGCCCTGGCAGGTGCGCAACCGTTGTCGCAGAAGTTCGAAAAAGTTGCTCGCAAAAGCCCGTTTGACAGAAATGTTTAAAAAGTGTTGGGTTTCCTACGAATCCGCAAGCGCGCGCGGGATGAGATTTTGACATTTTTTTGTTGAAAAACCATTGGTTTTTTTGATGTGTTTATGTTAAAATCGCTCCGAACACTAAGCTTTTGGAAGGATTTCGTCTTGCGCGCGCGAATGTCCACTTTACCTTTTTTTTTGCAAAGGATTCTTGAAATTTGATTATATTAGAACAAGAAATGTCATTTTATAGTGTTTTTTGCAAGGGAAAGCGGGGGGGAACAAAACAACCGGATCTTGATCACCTCGAATTACCTGAGGCTTCCTCACGAAAATGATGAAAACGTGGCTGCGGCCTAGGCGCGGCGGGGGGGGCGCGCACCAGGGGGCCCAACAATAATTATTCTTTAGAATTAATAATGTTCAACAACACCAACACCAACACCAACACCAACAACAACGACAACGACAACGGCAACGGCAACGGCAACGGCAACGACAACAACAACAACAACAACAACAACAACAACAACAACAACAACAATTACTAGCACGTGGGGACACTCCGTTCTCACCAGTGCCAGGGTTTTCATAGGAGGCGGGCAATACCCCCACTTTGTGGGGGGGCCAGTTCAAGCTCTACAAAATTTCCAAACGACTCTTCGCCACCACCCACACCCAGCTTCCCGCCCTATGACGTTCGGACACTTCACTCCGTGGCATGCGGACGACCGTGGCTACTATTCAGGGCCCCGCGGCCGACGACGACGGCGTGCGCGCGCGAAGTAAAAACGAATGTGTCCCGCATGGTATGATTTGACAGGGATGATGGCCCTGGCAGGTGCGCAACCGTTGTCGCAGAAGTTCGAAAAAGTTGCTCGCAAAAGCCCGTTTGACAGAAATGTTTAAAAGTGTTGGGTTTCCTACGAATCCGCAAGAGCGCGCGGGATGAGATTTTGACAATTTTTTGTTGAAAAACCATTGGTTTTTTGATGTTTTTATGTTAAAATCGTTGCGAACACTAAGGTTTTGGAAGGATTTCGTCTTGCGCGCGCGAATGTCCACTTTACTTTATTTCTTGCAAGGGATTCTTGAATTTGATTATATTAGAACAAGAACTGTCATTTTCTATTGTTTTTTGCAAGGGAAAGCGGATTACAACAAAACAACCGGATCCTGTACACACCCTCTTTTCTGAGGCTTCCTCACGAAAATGATGAAAATGTAGCTGCGGCCTAGGCGGCGCAGGGGGGGCGCGCACCAGGGGGCCCAACAATAATTATTCTTTAGAATCAATAATGTTCAACAACAACAACCACAACAACAACAACAACAACAACAGCAACAACAACAACACCAACAACAACAACAATAACAACAACAACAACGACAACAACAACAACAACAGCAGCGAACCACAAATGCGAAAATTGGAAGCAACGGAGCATGGACAAAACGCGACTGAAAGTCACCAAGAACGGAGGACCGAGGCGGCACTGGGGCCCACTAAACTGAAGGGGCCTAAGGACACACAACTAAGTACACACAAACCGAAGGATTCCCCATATGTTCCCATAGTTTCTGGATTCTTGTCTTCCCCCCCACTTCCCATAGTTTCCCATATGTTCTTGGGGATCGACGATTCATTGTGTCTGCGTGTTTTTTCCCCTCCTGATGAACGCACGATGCGAACGATCACTCCTCAACCAGTGCCTGCGCGGCAAGCGCCGGGCAGGGCCTCGAGCCAATGGGGGGCGCGCTCCTCCCTCCGCGCCGCGCGGCCCCCCTCCGCCGTGGCGCAGCCTCGTTCGCCCCCCCTCCGCAGAAAATCGCCCCTCCGTCCCCGTGGGCCCCTTGGCGTCCGAGAGGCGAGGCGAGCGAGGAGGGGGCGAGGAGAACTCTGCTCTTCGTGAGGAGGATCGGCCTTTTTGCCCCCGTTCCAGCAAAAAATCGCCCCTCGGTCCCCGTGGGCCCCGTTGCGTCCGAGGGGCGAGGCGAGCGAGGAGGGGGCGAGGAGAACTCTGCTCTTCGTGAGAAGGATCGGCCAGGTTGCCCCCTCCGCAACAAAAATCGCCCCTCCATCCCCGTGGGCACTGCTGCGTCCGAGTGGCGAAGCGAGCGAGGAGGGGCGAAGAGAAGTCTGCTCTTCATGAGAAGGATCGGCCTTTTCGCCCCCTCCGCAAAAAATCGCCCCTCCGTCCCCGTGGCCCCCCTTGGCGTCCGAGTGGCGAAGCGAGCGAAGAGGGGGCGAGGAGAACTCTGCTCCTCGTGAGGAGGATCGGCCGCGTGTTCACGCAAGGTGTCTCGATTATTCTTGGCATCGTCTCCTCAGAGTTGACGGGGTCCGTCTCAACGTGTTCTGCATGGCCCGCCCACGCACAGAAGGAACCAGCGAGCGGAGAGGGGGCGGGGACAATGCGGCGTGCGCTGCCGCAGAAGAGCAAGACACGGCATGAACCACGAGCTGCCGCCGCTCCGCGCGGACCGCGCGCCAAGGGGGGGGCCCGCCGCCAGTCCAAAGAAATCCGCGCGGAGCTCCGAAAGCTGACGTGTGTGCCGCCTTTTGGTCCTCGAGGATGATGCGAAATGGGGTGGGGGGGGAGGGGCAAGGATCGGGGATGGCCAAGAGGGGGGCGTCCAAGAGGGAGGGGTGCAAATCGTGGCCGGCGGCATGTGCACGGCCTAGGTGGTGGGGCGGAGCCCGGTATAGGAGCTCCCGAAGGCCGAAAATAGCGAAACATCTCCCGTCGCGATTCTTTCACTCGGGAGCGGCCAAGAGGGGGGTGTCCAAGAGGGGGGGTGCAAATCATGGCCGGCGGCATGTGCGCGGCCCAGCGGGGGGCCCGGGAACGCAATGAAACAAGAAGAGACGCCTTGAGATCTGGGGAGATATCATGGCCCCCGCCATGACATCCCCCCCCCCCCGTCGTCATCACCCCCCTCCTTTCCGCCCCCGAGAGGAGAGGGGGCCGTCCTTCTCCTTGCTGCCGCCGGAGCTGCCCTCCTCGTCGCTCGGCGCCGCTCCGGGGGCCTCGGGCAGCGCCGCATTGGAGCAGGGAGCGACCGTCCCCACATTCCTATAGGCCTGCCACGACATGTTCTTAGAACCCCAAAACGTTCAAAAGAACAAAAACAATGCTCTTAGAACATACGCCCGACGTGCTGAAACAAGACAGGCTCAGCCAGAAAGGTTCTACGACAACCTCGCGCAAGCCACAAAAGGCTCTAAGAACATTCCCTGGTGGGTCGAAACTTAAGTCGGGCCTGTCCTCCTACAGTCGGATTTTGGAAGAAAAACGAAACATAGTCACAAAATACCCCCAAATTGTCCAACAATGCACAAAAAATAGTCCCCTGATTATTTTTAAACTATTTTGAATTGTTCCTCCTGTATGAAAGGGCCTTGGGACACACAAATAAATACACACAAACAAAAGGATTCACCATATTTTCCTATATCTTCTGGGTTTCTGTCTTCCCCCCCACTCCCCATATTTTCCCATATTTTCTGGGGAATCGACGATTAATTGTGTCTGTGTGTTTTTTCCCTCCTGACTGTAGAGGGACACGCCCGACTTAAGCCTATACATCGGCGCACCAGGACGCCTCGCCCCTGCCTCGCGCACGCACAGGGCGAGGCGCGGCGCCTGGCGGAGGGTGGCGAGACGGAGCGCGCGGAGGTGGCGCTGCTGCTCCGGCTGCTCCGGCTGCTGCTGCTCCCCCTCCTTGCCGTCGCTCGGACGTCCATTTCCTGTGTATTTTTGGGTTTCGTGCGTGTTTTTTTTGGGGGGGGCTCGATGGTCCAGGATGGTCCTCGATGGCTCTCGCCGAGAAAAAATACACACGTCCGAGCGATGCCAAGCCTCCTTCCGGAGCTTGTCGTCGGCGTCGTCGGCGTCGGCGTCGTCGGCGTCGTCGTCGGCGGCGGCGTCGTCGTCGGCGTCGTCGTCGTCGTCGCCGCCGGTCGCCGCCGTCGTCGTCGTCGCCGCCAGTCGCCGCCGTCGTCGTCGTCGTCGTCGTCGGCGTCGGCGTCGGCGTCGTCGTCGTCGTCGGCGTCGTCGTCGTCGTCGGCGTCGGCGTCGTCGTCGGCGTCGGCGTCGTCGCCGTCGGCGGCGTCGTCGTCGTCGTCGTCGTCGGCGTCGTCGGCGTCGTCGTCGTCGTCGCCGCCGGTCGCCGCCGTCGTCGTCGTCTTCGTCGTCGTCGGCGTCGTCGACGTCGTCGTCGTCGTCGGCGTCGTCGTCGGCGTCGTCGGCGGCGTCGTCGCCGCCGGTCGCCCCGCTTGTCGCCCCACCGCTGCGGCCGGCCGCAGGGCGGCTCCCCTGCCGCCGCCGCGGGGCGGTGCGGGGGCCGGCCCGCGGGGGGGGGGGGCCAGCACGGGAGGGGGCGAGCCGCGGGGGGAGCAAGCCAGGGCGCTGCACCAGGCCCAGACCCCCTCGAGTCATGAAAAAATCACGACGGAAGGTTTTTCTGTATTTTCCACCTCTGGGGGCCCTTGCCAGCCCTCGG